CATCTAACATGTACCGTGAGCATCACAGCAGGAGAAAAAGCAAAAGAAAGGTCGATGTGGAAACGGAGACAAACGTGTGAACAAAGAAAATCATGATGTGCAGCTCAGAGAGAGACGAGGCCTCCTAACATTATCTGGGTAAATCTCATTTATGACTTTAAAGTTAATCTCTTTTACTTTAAGGGGAAGTGAGATATACTTTCTAATTATCACCTCAGCCTCCTTGGATTCAAATTCTTTTAGAATATAAATTCTTTGGGTTCGGACAGATTTAATTTATCACAATATCTCTGATCGCCTTGTTTGTAAAGCTGCTGTCAGCAAAGTGAGCTCTGCAGAGCCTCTCAGTGATCTCAGAGGGACGGCTTTGGTTAGTTTTGTCACTCTTAGCATCATCTCACATCAAACTCCTCACAGAACGTCTCATGTTTTAATAAAACCCCATTTTCATTTATAAAACGAGCTACAGCACAAATCCCTTTGGCTCTCCACTCATCCGTGTACACACAGTTTCTACACGGACGGACATGCCTGCTGCTCCGGGAAACACCGAGTGATGAATGTTATATTCTGGTCTCATTCACGACAGACTCCAGAATATCTATTTCCTTCCCAACGGGGTAGTAAGTTTTATTAACAAGTCATGCGACTCAGATTGGTCCTCTGCCATGTACAACAGCAACATACAGCCTAACAATCCTTACTTGTGTGACACTCTAAAACGTCCGTGCAGCAACACAATCCATTGTGGAACAAACCGTCTTGCAAACAATAATTCACATTATTACAATGAACGAAGAAATACGAGCCTGTTGCTGTTACACTCCTCACCAGCAGGTGGCGGTTTCCCGTCCACCAGGAGAGCTTCGCTGTGACACGAAGCGGAAGTGAAGAGGAAACAGTGCCAGTGTTGTTGTGCGAGCCGAGTGTGTGCGAGCCGAGTCAGCAACAATGCCTTCAGTTCAGTATCTGAGAGAGTTTATCAACGAGCGACTAACTGCTGCTGCTGAACAAATATTCTTGGAGTTTGAAAAAACGATCGTCCAGTACGAGGAAGAGATCGACCGTCAGCGCAGACTGCTGGATATCACCTGGAAACCCGAAATCAAGCTGCACAGGACAGGTGAGTGTCCCTCTGAGGGAGGATCCTGATCACAGCCAGGGCCGTGCAGAGATGTCTGAGGGGCGGGTGCTCGAGGACACACTGTATCACTGTCATCAGGTGTGTTTTACCTGGTGGGTACACGGTTGGAGGGCAGGCTGTTGATCTGAGGCCGAGCTGTCAGACACTCTCCAGTATACTGTAGCCACAGGTTTGCATCGTGGTGCTGATCCAGAATCCTTCCCTGATTTATTCCCAGTGCTGTAATAATAAAATCTATGACGAGTCAGTTTGTCGGGCAGAAAGATGATTCAATGTCTAAACTGTATATGATAATGTTGCTGCTGTAAAATGTTGCTGCATCTGAAATGTAAATATAATATAATCAGTTTTTCATGTGTTTTCTTTAAAACACAGTGTGGATCTAATATGTGGATATGCATATCAGTTTCCCCTGCAGCGCCACATCAGCCAGGCGGCAAAACGTGCACGCTCTCTCTGCGAGCTTGTAACCAGTGCGCTCTGCCTCCGAGGGTGAGCATTGGTTAACAGTCGTCATGTGACTGATGCAAGTCAGATCGAAGGCAGAGAAGAATGCCTCCACGTCTGTGTTTGTTGTCATGAGGGCTTTCCTCCGCAGGTCTTTGGACTTCAGGCTGTTTGTGTGTTTCAGTGAACGGTGCATTAAAGGTCTTTCTCTTCGTGGGAAAAAAGAACCTGGTTGGAGACGTTAGTTCTGCCTTTTGGCTTCAGTTTGCGCTCTCCATCGTACCTGCAGCAGCTCGTCACACGCACAGTCTGAGATGGCGTGCAGGTAGATGGGCGATGACATCAGAGTGGCGTGAGCAGGTGGTGGAGGTGCTCGTGGGTGGCTCAGGGAGGACATGTTGGCGACCTTTGACTCTCACTTTAATAATAAACGTGTTACAGAAAAAAGCGCTCGGCGTGTATTTATACTCACTTTCATATAAAACATGTAAAGATGAACTCTCACACACACGAGCGACGCAGTCATGCTGTAAAGTCTTTCTTCTGTCCTCCAGACGTCCCACAGCAGCAGGTCTGTGAGGAGGAGGAGGAGGTTCTCCCTGAGCAGCAGCTCTGGAACCAGGAGAGGAGCTCCAGTGTGGAGGAACCAGAAGCTCCACAGATTAAAGAGGAACAGGAGGAACTGTGCAGAAGTCAGGAGGGAGAGCAGCTGGGACTGAAGGAGGAGCCGGATACCTTCATGGTGACTGCTGCTGAGGAAGGAGAGCACAGTGAACCAGGAGGAGACGAGGAGCAGCTCCTCTCTCACAGCTCTGCTGGAGCCGAGAGCCAGGATCAACGAGGAAACAAGGATGGAGCGTCAGGTGAGAAGTTGTGTTCTTATGAAGTGTGAGACGAGTTTGACTGAATGTGGTCGTTTCACTGTCCAGAGGCATCCAAACAGCTGAGGACTAGAAATGTCTTCAGGGGAAAAAGCAGTGATGTGTTTTCAGGGGTCAAAGACGAGCTTTTAAAGAGAGCCGCTCCTTCACCAGTGACTGAGGTCAGTGTAACGACGACTGCTTTCTTTTTGTGTCTGGATGTTCTCATAAATGTTGCTGAATCACTTTGACACTGAAAACTCTTCACAAACTCGAGTCCTCCTGGTAGATTTAACTGGTTTTCCAGCTCCTTCAGAATCACAGTGTCAGAATCTTTGTTCTCTAATCGTTTTCCCTCTCAGCCATAAAAGGCTGGTGGGCTGTTGTCGTGACCCTGCCGAGCTCCGATGTTGTTCCTGGATCTGCTGGAGCCACTCGCCTAGCTTGGGAGTCACCACACATAGTGCTCCGATTCCCACTAGGACCACTGTTACCTTCACCCCCCACATTTCCCTTTCTGTGCCCCGCTCATGTTTTGACCCATGTGCCATCTTACCGACTATGATGCCTGACAGGAGCGTCCACGTGGTGCTGAGGCAGGTTATTGGTCGGTAGTTGGAGGGGACCGGTCCCTTCTGGGGGTCCTTGAGGATCAGGACTGTCCAGCCTTTGGTTAGCCATTCTGGGTGTCAGCCTTTTCTCCTGTTTTGTGGTGAGACAGTGAGCTTGGCCATTGTACTTTGTTTTCTTACAGACTGTCTCTTAGTTTTGCTTCTTAGCCAGAAGGGGGCGATGTGTTTGTTGTTTTGGCTTCTAAGACCCTGACGCTTGGAGCTTCCCTGTTGTATTTTGGTCCTAATTGGTTCATTTGCATTAATTGTAAAATAAATTGTGTTTTACTGACGTTAACTATGCGGTGGTTAATAGTTTTTTTCCACTTTGTGTTACACCCCATCTCGGATAACACTTTACTGTTATGTGGGCTGTAACAGCTACACCTCCCCAGCTGGGTCAGGCTCCACCACCCCCACCCCCAAGACCTGGGACTGGATCACCATTTATGAAAATGGAGACAATTGTGAGTATACTTACTCTTTTCTTGTTTCACTTTTGTCATTTCAGAACTCCCACATCACCAGAATGTGAAGGAGATTCTCCAAGAGCAGCAGTTCTGTAATGCAGAGAGGAACCCCAGTCTGGGCCAGGAGGAACCACAAGGACAACTTTTGCTCGAGGACGGGACCAATACCTTTATGCTAACAGCTACTTGTGAGGAAAGTGACCACAGCGACTCAGAAACAGATAGCGAGCAGCTCCTCTCTGACGACTCTCCTGAAACTGAAAGCAGAGATCAAGAAACGAGCAAGCAAGAAGGGTCGGGGTTAACTGAAGATGCAGGGTCAAAGCCAAAGAAGGGACGTCAGGGAAAGGAAACTTACCAGCTCAGCTTGCCGATTTCAGTGAGCCAGTGTAATGAGACTTTCAGTATGTCCCGGGGAAAGAAGCATCACATGATCCAAAACAATGTGAAACTCTACGTGTGCAAAATATGTCGTAAAATTTTCGTGAGAAGGTATCACTTGTCTATGCACATGAGAATCCACACAGGTGAAAAACCATATTGTTGTGAAACATGTGGGAAACGTTTCAGTATAAAACGCAGTTTGGCTCGTCACATCACCGCTCACACAGGAGAGAAACCATATTGCTGTGAAACATGTGGGAAAAGTTTCAGTGCTAAAAATAGTTTGTCTTACCACATCACCACTCACTCAGGCGAGAAACCATATTCATGTGAAATATGCAGGAAATGTTTCGGTCAAAGCAGTGCTCTGTATCTCCACAAGAAAACCCACACAGGCGAGAAGCCGTATCATTGTGACATTTGTGGGAAAAGGTTTCGTCAAGCTGGTCACTTGTCTCGCCACAAGAAAACTCACACTGGTGAGAAACCATATTCTTGTGAAACATGTGGGAAAAGTTTCAGTCAAAGCAGTGTTCTGTGTGCGCACAAGAAAATCCACACTGGGGAGAAACCTTATCATTGTGAAATATGTGGGAAAAACTTTAGTCAAAAAAGTCACTTGTCTCGGCACACAAAAACTCACACAGCTGAGAAGTTGTAGTCCGTTTGAAAGACTGCGTTCTTCTGTCGGTCAGTAAAAATAATGTTTCAGTAACAGGTGGAGTAGAGAGAGCTCAGAAGTGCCTTTACTTTGTCACATTATATGTGGTTTGTCAAATAACATCAATTCAATTCAATTTTATTTATATAGCGCCAAATCACAACAACAGTCGCCTCAAGGTGCTTTATATTGTAAGGTAGACCCTACAATAATGTACTTCCTATCTTGTCTTCCGTTCACTCTCAGTAAGTTCTACGTAATCTCTGTTTATCTTGATCTGATGCCTACTTTGTCTTTTGTCTTAATTTTGAAATAGTCCTTTCGTACTTGTTTAATCTCACCAAACACTCTCTTATGTGTTTGTGATATATTTGTGCTAGGTCCCTAAATATATTTTATCTTGAAATGAAGCTTCCACTGTGTGTTTTGTTAGTATTTGTAACTGTAGGAAATTTGTATTCTTTTTTTTTAACCTTTCCTAAAGTTGTTTCAGGATTTGGAAGTGATACTAACAAATAAAAAAAAAATGTGGTTAACATGATGTGAAAGCTGTATAAATAAAGTTTTCTTCTATAATTTCTGGTTATTCAACATTTAATTTTACAGACTGCAGGTTCTTGCCTGCCTTTCTCTCCACGAGTCTCCTGGATAAAGGCCTAACAGAGCTGGAGAGAAAGTGAGTGGACTTCTTTAATTTTTACATTTCATCCACGAAGCTTCTTCAGTTCTAAAACCAAGTGGTGGAGAGTCCCAGGTATTTAAAGCCCAGTGAGAGGGTCGCTGACCCACTATTGAAAGTGTGAAAAAGGGTGTGGGCCATTATCAGCCGAGAAACCATTGAGAGAGCTTGCCTCACCCTATCATGTGACCTGCTGAGAACACTTGATGTGAGCAGGGGAAGGATCTGAGACTGCATTGTAGGTGGCATCCTCAAGAGTGACCTTTGACCTTTAGATGCAGATGAACAGCTGAGTCTTGTCCTGTTGAGGTGGTTCTTCCTCCATGTTGGCTACAATATGTGACACCGATGAGCCCATGGCACAGCCACGTTTTTGTAGAAACCCTCGCTGTATTTAAAATATGTGGTAGTGAGGCAGAGGTCTAACAGTGTGCAGGTCTGAGTGGGACTCCTTTGTGGATCTTTGGGAGTCCACAAAGAAGAAGGCAAAGTGGACCCAAAGGAGTACACCGAGGACGGCTGTGTAAGTCCCGGTGTGTGTGGCATCCACAGGAACCTCTGAATCTCAAGCTCGTATAAACTGTTTCTACGAACACCAAAGAGCGAAAACAACAAACAGTTAACGGTCACATCATTTCATAAAATGTCCATAAACAAGCAGAACAGAGCCTCGATAGCACGAGCTAACCGAGCGAACAGTACACTTTCTGAAAGCAGAGATTTCACAGATTCCTAAACTGCGGGTTTTGTCACGCTCCAACGAAAATTTACCGAACCAGCCGCAGAAGCTGACCGCTCGATAATAACATAAAGTCAGACTTTTCCCGTTGCTTTCACAGCATAAACATCCATTTGAGACTACAGCTTGTTTCCTGACTAACTCAATCTCCCACAATGCCTCAGAGCTGTTTCCTGCTAAAAAAAAAAAATCACAGTTTTCTGCCCAGTTACGGACATTTGATTGTCTGTACCCATGTGGATGCCTTGGGTACAGATGGTGGTATGTAGGGGGGTCAGTGAAGTTGTTGTAGGTAACTGATGACTTTGTTTTTGTGGGGTCTCGTTTTATGGTTTCATGGGTGTTTTTGTCACTGAGGAGTAATTTTGGTGTGATAATCAGTTGAGTTTAGAACAGCAGTTTCCCTCCTCCTATGGTCTTCTTTGTTTACATTGTGAGGTTAGACAGAATTTCTTGAACTGGAGAGAGTAGCCGAAACCTTCATCCTCAGTAGGTAGAGTGGTGACCCAATGACCAGAAACCTGGGCGCCCAATGGCTGCCCACTGCTTCACTGAGTGAATGGGTTAAATGTAGAGAGGAATTTCACCATGGAGACCAATAAAGTATACGTTATCCTGAGTTATGTTAATGTATTAATCCCTGTTGTGGCCCATTATGGGCAGCTTTTGTACAGACATGACCAAATTGATTCCTCTGGCTAGCACCTGTCTGACAAGTTCTTCACCCACTCATCCTGGCTGGTTGTGGTGTCTTCATGTTCTCGTGGTGTGGGCATTGATTCAAAATGGAAAGTTTTTTGTTTGCAGTTTTTGGAGCTTCTGAAGTTGTTTTTCTTTGCCTTTCATGTGTTGTACCAACTGAGCTGTGTCCACAAACTTGGGAAACAAACAGTAGGAGCACAGTGAGTTCCTGCAGGGTCTTTTTAATCTTATTTTGGAGTCCATCTATAGTGGAATGGATCTATCCTTTCACTCAGCAGCTGGTTTAATGCTCTCCATAAGATCTGCTCGGCCCTGTGACTCCTGACTATGGACCATCAAAACTCTTGGAAAGCAGTCTGTTTCTGTCAAACAGACTCAGCAGACTGCAGTCACAGTGGCTCCTGTGGTTGAGAAACAGAGCAGATGGATTTAAAAAGGCATGAAGAAGGTAGTGGTAAAAAACGAACCAAACGTGTTTCACATGATGATGTCTTATGTGTTGGTACAGGGCATTGATGATGATAACAGTGGGTGGATTATATTCTTAAACTTAGTTACAGCGCTTTCAGAAAGACATCTAATGTGATAAAGTCTACTCTCCACTGCTGTGTAATCAATTATTGTAAATGTAAATGTAATCAGGAAATGATCAGACAGGAGAGGGTTTTCAGGAAACACTGTTAAATGTTCAGTTTCTATGCCATATGTTAAACTCTGGTAATTGGTGATTCTGTTCTGTCTTCCAGGGGCCAGAGCAGGTGACACTGAAGGAAATTTAAAACTGCTGGCTAAGGGTAAACGTAAATTCAGTAAAATCATAATTCACGTCGACAGTAATGACACCCGGTTACGCCAATCGGAGGTCACTAAAATCAATATTGAATCGGTGTGTAACTTGCTAGCCAAAACAATGTCGGACTCTGTAGTTTTCTCTGGTCCCCTCCCCAATCAGACCAGGAGTGACATGTTTAGC